TGGGTGGAGCTGTTGTTTCCATGGTTGTGGGTGGGGCTGATGTTTGTATGGTTGTGGGTGGAGCTGTTGTTTCCATGGTTGTGGGTGGGGCTGATGTTTGTATGGTTGTTGATGGGACTGTTGTTTGGGTGGTTGTTGATGGGAATGTTGTTTCCATGGTTGTGGATGGAGCTGTTGTTTTCATTGTTGTGGATGGGCCTGTTGTTTTTTCTGTACGCTCTTTGTAAAAACGTGCCTTTGTCAGCTTTAAGAACAATTCACATTTGCCATTAAGTGGTATAGAACATACGTTAAGTGCTTCAAAGTAAGGAGCCTATATTTAATCTGTATGACATGTCAGGATCAGTCATTGTTTTGTTGATTGTACCTAAGTTATCCTTTTTAATAGGATCATTTTGTATAAAATATATGTTAACAAGACAACAAAATACACTGTCATAGATTGTTGAACATCAGTAATTCAGCATGCCAAGATTCAGGAATACCATACTGTGGTATCAATTTTTAAACAACATTTAGTAATGTTGGAAGAAAAGATATTAGGGATGCAATTTTTGCCTTACCAGTGGTAACTTGGGTTGTTGCCTTGGCAGTTGTTGGAGGAGGTGTTGTCACGATCGTGGTAGGTAGGGCGGTTATTTTAGTGGTGGAGGGAGCTATTGGTAGTAGAAAAAAAGGAAAAGGTTATAACAGCAATATTTAGAGTTGTTTTTGACTGTACACAAATTGCAATCGACTGCAATTGCAATAAATAAAAGATTAACTGCCATAATACTAGTGATCTGTGGTTCTGCGCATTTTATCAGGTGATGCTAAAGTCTACAATGCAGTAGAAAAGGAGGGGAGAGAAATTGTATTCATGTGAGCAGGTATCTACAGGCAGCTCTTATCTTACCAGATGTTTTGATAGTGGATAGAAATGTTGTTTGAATAGCTGTTGTTTCCATTGTAGTTAGTTGGTCTGTTGTTTGAATTGTTGTGGATGCAGCTGTTGTTTGGATAGTAGTGGGAGAGGCTGTTGCTTGACTGGTTGTTGTTTGGATGGTTTTAGATGGGGCTGTTGTGTCAAGAGTTGTAGATGTAATTACTCTTTGGACAGTAGTAGGAGGGGCTGTTGGGGTAGATTGGACTGTTGTTTGGCTGGTCGTGAATAGGGCTGTAGTACCAAGAGTTGTGGATGGAGCTGTTGTTTGGGCAGTAGTAGGAGGGGATGTTGTTTGGATGGTTGTGGATGGGGCTGTAGTTGCAAGAGTTGTGGATGGAGCTGTTGTTTGGACAGTAGTGGTATCGGCTGTTGTTTGGATGGTAGTGGATGGGGCTGTAGTTGCAAGAGTTGTGGATGGAGCTGTTGTTTGGGCAGTAGTAGGAGGGACTGTTGTTTGGATGGTAGTGGATGGGGCTGTAGATGATAGAGTCGTGGATGGAGCTGTTGTTTTGGCAGTAGTAGGAGGGGATGTTGTTTGGATGGTTGTGGATGGGGCTGTAGTTGCAAGAGTTGTGGATTCGACAGTTGTCTGGACAGTAGTGGTATCGGCTCTTGTTTGGATGGTTGTGGATGGGGCTGTTGTTTGGGCAGTAGTAGTAGGGACTGTTGTTTGGATGGTTGTGGTTGGGGCTGTTGTAACAAGAGTTGTAGATTGGACAGTTGTTTGGGCAGTAGTAGTATCGACTGTTGTTTGGATGGTAGTGGGTGGGGCTGTAGATGCAAGAGCTGTTGTTTGGGCAGTAGTAGTATCGGCTGTTTGGATTGTTGTGGGTAGGGCTGTAGTTGCAAGAGTTGTGGACGGAGGTGTTGTGTGGGCAGTAGTGGGAGGGGATGTTGTTTGGGCAGTAGTAGTATCGGCTGTTGTTTGGATGGTAGTGGATGGGGCTGTAGTTGCAAGAGTTGTGGATGGAGCTGTTGTTTGGGCAGTAGTAGGAGGGGATGTTGTTTGGATGGTAGTGGATGGGGCTGTAGATGCAAGAGTTGTGGATGGAGCTGTTGTTTGGGCAGTAGTAGGAGGGGATGTTGTTTGGATGGTTGTGGATGGGGCTGTAGTTGCAAGAGTTGTAGATTGGACAGTTGTTTGCGCAGTAGTAGTATCGGCTGTTGTTTGGATGGTAGTGGATGGGGCTGTAGTTTCAAGAGTTGTGGATTGAGCTGTTGTTTGGGGAGTAGTATTAGGGGCTGTTGTTTGCATGGTAGTGGATGGGGCTGTAGATGAAATAGTTGTGGATGGAGCTGTTGTTTTGAGAGTAGTAGGAGGGACTGTTGTTTTGGCAGTAGTAGTATCGGCAGTTGTTTGGATGGTAGTGAATGGGCCTGTAGTTTCAAGAGTTGTGGATGGAGCTGTTGTTTGGGCAGTAGTAGTAACGACAGTTGTTTGGATGGTTGTGGATGGGGCTGTAGTTGCAAGAGTTGTGGATGGAGCTGTTGTTTGGGCAGTAGTAGGAGGGGATGTTGTTTGGATGGTTGTGGATGGGGCTATAGATGCAAGAGTTGTGGATGGAGCTGTTGTTTGGGCAGGAGTAGGAG